CAGCCCCCGAGCCTCAGCTGCGCAGCCCCCAGACACGCACGCGCACGCACACACAGGCACGCGCGCGGACAGCGCGTGGTAGGCACCTGCTGCACCACGCCGACGTGAGCCGTGGCCACGCAGCGCGGGCGGCTGAGGCTCGGTGCTGCTCACCCGAGGCCGGCAGGGCCTGGAGCCCGGCCCACGAGGCCTCCCCACAGGGCCCCCCAGGGTCCCAAGACAGCTCTGCTCCTACACCGCACAGCCCTGGCCTGCATCCCCCTCTCGCCTGCCCAGAGGCCGAGCTCAGGTCCATGTCCACCACGCACCCCTCCCGAGGGGGCTTCCTGAAGCCGGGGTCTTGGGCCAGGGCCAGACAGGGCGGCACCACGGACCTGCAGGAAGACTCCCTGGCTGCACGCAGGCCACGTGACTGCCGCGACACCTGCCCCAGCCCGAGCGGCCCTGGGGGAAGGCAGGCGCCAGGCGCGCAGCTGCGGGCTGGGAACAGCGCCGCCATTCAGGCCCGGTCAACGCGCTGGCGCCGGGGGGCTCCCCGCCCCGCCCACAGGGCCTGCAGGGTGGGGGCCACGGCTCAGCCTTTCCGGGAGGGCACCCAGGCCGCGCTGGCCCCTCGGGGTGCCCCAGGGTGGTGCCAGGGCAGGGGGACAAGGCCAGGCCCGGCCCTGCCTCCCGGGCACACAGAGGCGGCTCCAGGGCCGGGCGGGGGCGTGGCTGGGGCCGGGTGGGGGCGTGGCCGGGGGCGCGCCAGGTGCTGCAGACAACAGGGCTCAGTTTCTGGAAACTCAGACCTGAGCGAAGGTTCCCAAGGCACAGAGGGCCCGTCCCTGGTGGCCGCCCGCCGCGGGGGCCACGCCCGCCATCGGCTCGGCTCAGCCACGAGGCCGGGGCCAGGCCCTGCCTGACGTGGGAGAAGCCAGACTCCGGCCGGCGCCGGGACTCACCCGTCGATGATGAGCTGGTCGTAGGGCGCCGGCTTGTCGCACACGGGGCAGGTCCAGGTGGGCTTCTTCTCATTCATCTGCAGGTAGAAGACGGCGTCGAAGCACTGCAGGTGGGCGCACGTCTCGGCGCGGCAGGGCACCGTCAGCCGCATCTTCACCAGCTGGGGGCAGGGGGGCGTCAGCGGCCGGCCGGCCCGCACCGAGGCCGGCGGGGGCGGGGCGGGGCGGGGCGGGGCCGAGGGCGACTCACGGGGCAGATGAGGGAGACGCGCACGCCGGTGGTGGCGATCTCACTGTCCGGGTCCAGCCGCAGCTTCTCTTTGACTGGGGGAGGCAGAGGGCGAGGTCAGAGGGCAGAGGGCAGGGGCAGGCAGGTCGGGATTCGGGTCTTCTCCAGCCGGCCCAGGGTCCTGGTGGCGTCTGGGACAAGGGCTGCCAGTGGCCACTGGGTCCAGGCCCAGCCCAGGGGCACGCGTCCCGGCCCTCGGGCTTTCCTGGAGAACCTGGGCAGAGCTACCCCGGAGACCCCCACCCCCACCCCGGAGACAGCACAGGCAGCCCCCCACCCCCGTGACCCTGCTGTGGGGGCCCAGGAGGCTCCTGCAGCCCCCACCTCGCTGAGCCCGGACAACAGGGGCGGGGCCCGGCCCCTTCCCTTTCCCTGCCTGGGCACGGGATGTCGTAGGAGGCCCAGAGCCTCCAGGCCCCTGCACGGACCCAGGGCTGGGAGCCCCCAGCGTGGCCCTCCCGCCCCGCCCGCCAGCCCTGGCGCGAATGCGGAGCCCGGGGCGTGGTCCGCTGGGAGCCCGCCCTGGCGCGAATGCGGAGCCCGGGGCGTGGTCCGCTGGGAGCCCGCCCTGGCGCGAATGCGGAGCCCGGGGCGTGGTCCGCTGGGAGCCCGCCCGCCCTGGCGTGAATGCGGAGCCCGGGGCGTGGTCCGCTGGGAGCCCGCCCGCCCGCCCGCCCGCCGCGGGGCTCACCCAGCGCCTTGCACAGCTCCGGGTGCTTCACCCCGATGGTCTTCAGCCGCTGCAGCAGCTCCGCCGAGCTCAGCTGCCGCACCAGGTACAGCGCCACCGAGTAGCTCTGGGGGGCGGGGGCGTCAGCGGGGGGTGAGTGGGGCGGGTACCCGCAGGGTGGGGTGGGGGGTGTCAGTGGGGGCGTGTCCCAGCAGGGCGGGGTGGGGTGTGGTGGGGGTGTCGGTGGGGGCGTGTCCCAGCAGGGCGGGGTGGGGTGTGGTAGGGGCATCGGTGGGGGCGTGTCCCAGCAGGGCGGGGTGGGGTGTGGTGGGGGCGTCGGTGGGGGCGTGTCCCAGCAGGGCGGGGTGGGGTGTGGTGGGGGCGTCGGTGGGGGCGTGTCCCAGCAGGGCGGGGTGGGGTGTGATAGGGGCGTCGGTGGGGGCGTGTCCCAGCAGGGCGTCGGTGGGGGGTGTGTCCCAGCAGGGCGGCGGTGGGGGCGGGTCCCAGCAGGGCGGGGTGGGGTGTGGTAGGGGCGTCGGTGGGGGCGTGTCCCAGCAGGGCGGGGTGTGGTGTGGTGGGGGCGTGTCCCAGCAGGGCGGGGTGGGGTGTGGTGGGGGCGTCGGTGGGGGGCGTGTCCCAGCAGGGCGGCGGTGGGGGCGGGTCCGGGGGGGCGCTCACCTTGCCGTAGTTGCCCCAGGTGACGGTGATGCGGTTGGTGGCCGAGGACAGGTACATGAGGTGTGTGAGGTTGATGGGGCGGCAGGGCCTCTTGGGCTCCACGCCGGGCTTGTTGGAGGGGTAGTAGCCCTGCGGGCAGAGGCGGGCTCAGGCCACGCCCCGCCCACCCCGCCCCGCCCGCCCGCCCGCAGGGGCGCGCACTCACGGGCACGGAGCAGTAGCTGTGGTTGACCTTCACCGCGATGTTGGGCGGGTACTGGTCCTCCTGCGGGCAGCTGGTGTCCGAGTAGCAGATTCTGCAGGGACAGCGGGGCTGTGGGGGCTGCGGCCAGGCAGGGGGGAGGCGGGCGGGGCGGGGGGCGGGGGGGGGGCGCCGGCCTACCTCAGCACGACCTGCACGGCTTTCACTCCGGGCTGCAGCTCTCTGTGGGGGATGGGAGGGAGGGAGACGGGGTCACTGCCCAGGCCCGCCCCCAGCCTTGGGCAGCCTTGTGGGAGCCGGGCCGCAGGCCTGCGCAGGGAACGCGGCGAGCTTGGACAGAGCCACACCCTGGCGGCCAGGGACGGGGCACACACGGCGCTCGCGCAGCGCGGGGCCCCGGGGACGTCACGCCCAGGGAGAGACGCAGACCGGCCACGCCACCCTGTGGGCTCCCGGGCAGGAACGTCCAGGCCTGGCGAATCCAGGGACAGGAAGTGGCTGGGGGAGGAGAGGCTGGGAGCAACCGCTCGTGGGGGCGGGGCTGTCTGGGGTGCCGGAATGTTCCGGAGTTGGCGGTGGTGCCGGCTGACGGGGTGCGCCGGACCCCGCGTACACGCTCCCACGTGGGGTCTTCTCGGCCCTAAGGAGCGAGCCGTGCAGGAACCCATGGCCGGCGGGGTCCCCTGGGGGGGCGGCCACGGGGACAAAGGCCCCGCCCGGAGCACGGTTCCGGGGCAGCCGTGGGGTCTGCGGCGCCGTGACCTGGGGCCGGCGGGCAGCGGGCCGCGGGGGGGGGGGGGCGCCGGGCGCACCTGGAGTTCCGGATCAGCTCCACCTGCCTGGGGAGGGAGGGGGACTGGAGGGGGGAAGGGAGAGGGGGGAGGGGAGGGGAGGGGGCGCACCTGGAGTTCCGGATCAGCTCCACCTGCCTGGGGGGGAGGGGGAGGGGGCGGGGAGGGGAGGGGAGGGGAGGGGGGGCGCACCTGGAGTTCCGGATCAGCTCCACCTGCCGGGGCGTCAGGGCGAAGATGCACGGGCTCTCCTGCAGTTTCTCGCTGTTCTGCGGGACTGGAGAGGGCTGGGGTCAGCCGCCCGCGGGGCGCATCGCCTTCCTCCCGCCGACATCAGGCGAGGCCCGGGCAGCCCCGGGCTGGCTCCCGCGGGGCCTCTGGTCACCGGGCAGCCGCTGGGCGGAGGCAGGGTTAGCCGAGGCCCCTCCCTCTGAACTGGGACTGGCAGGCGCGGGCGGCGGGAATGAGCCCACAGCGCCCCGGACGGGCCGGCCAGGCAGCGTGGGAGGCCGGCGGCCGCTGCGGTGCTTCTGGGAAAGGGAAGAGATGAAGGCAGGACCACGCGGGCCGCCTCCGGGAGAAACCAGGGAAAGTCCGCGCAAGGCAGGAAGGAGGGGCGGCGAAGCCAGCAGAGGAGCAGGGGACGAGCAGAGCCCGGCGCACGCGGCTGCGGGCGCCAGTGAGGACCAGGCCGGGGCGGCACCGGGGCACCCAGCACCCAGCAGCCAGGGGAGAGGACGCACGTGCCCACAGACAGGCGCCGAGCGAGGGCCGCCTGCCGCGCACCGGGTGAGGCGCCCGCCGCACCTCCCATCCCGCTCCCTGCTGGGGCCCTGTCCCCGCGTGGGAGACCGGGAAGACCCAGCCCCGGCCACTGTGGGGATCGGGGGGGGGGGACGGTAGATGGGGAACCCCTTCTCTCTGCAACCCTGACTTTGAAATCATTCGATCCTAAAACCGGAAACACGCATATTGTGAAAAACACCTCATGCATTTCCATTCTGTTTCTGCAGCAAAACACCCTTACCGTCTACTTCAATTTTCCAAACTTTCTTTTAATTTATGTTATTTATTTGAAAGAGTTACAGAGAGAGAGAGAGGTCTTCCATCCGCTGGGTCACTCCCAGATGCCCACAATGGTCAGGAGCCAGGAGCCTGCTCTGGGTCTCCACGCGGGTGCGGGGGCCCAGGGCCCTGGGCCGTCCTCCACTGCTCTCCCAGGCCACAGCAGGGAGCTGGAGCGGAAGCGGAGCAGCCGGGACTCCAGCGCCCATATGGGGTGCCGGCGCTTCAGGCCAGGGCTTCAACCTGCTAGGCCACAGCGCCGGCCCCTCCACAAACTTTTGGGAGCGCCCTCCTGCTCTGGGCCCCGGGATCTGAGGTAGGAGGGCGAGACCGGGGAGACGGACACCTGGCCCGACACAGGCCCCGGCCAGCTCCGATGCAGCCTCCTGCCGACGCTGCCTGGCCCCGGCCCTTGGGAACCTGCAGCCCCAGGACAACAGGGCGGGGCTCCCGGCTCCGGCTCCGGCCTGGCCTCGAGCTGGCGGGCGCAGGCGTCTGTGGAGTGAGCCGGTGTCCCCCCCCCACCTTTCAAATAAATGAGAAACACCCTCGACACCTCTCCACAGCCACTGGGATGGCCAAAGCCGTGGCCAGTGCCGGGGGCAGCGGGGCCACCACGGCGGCAGGCCCGGCTGGGGCGCCCCCTGCTGTGAGGCAGCACAAGGTGGCCCCCGGGGTTGGGCCCCGCCCCGGCCCAGCGCGCCGTCCGCTCCTGCGGCGCAAACCTTCACAGACAGCGAGGGGCGTGGCTACGACGGCTGCGCACGCCCTGGAGGGTGGGGCCCGCGACACGCCCCTCCCACAACCCACGAACCTCCACCGAGGGGCGCGCCGCACAGCGGGACACGGCCGCCTGTCGTCCCCGTACACGGACCCCCGGCTGTCGTGCACGCGCGGCAGGAACGGAGCCGGGGCGACAGACACTGACCGCGCGGGGTCGGGTCGCGGTCAGCACGCAACCCAGGCTGCGCGGCTTCCAGGCCCCTTGTCCGATGTGTCTGGGAAGGCGGCGGGGTGGTGGTGGGGGCCCACGCGCTGGGCCCCTGCACGCCGGTGGGAGACCCAGATGGAGCCCAGCCCCGGCGTGGCCGCCATCGGGGGAGGGACCCAGCATGGGAAAGCCCAGGCCGGCTCCCGCGGGCCCCAGGGTATCTGGTGGCGTGACCGACGCCGCGGTGCGTCCAGTGAAGGGGACGGCCCGGGGGACGCGCCTCTACACAGTGTCCCTTGGAGCCGTCGCCAGAGCCCACCGGCCGCCCAGACGGCGGTGCCGCCGCGTGGCGTGGTCTCTGTGCCCGTGGCAGGCCCCAGGGGACCTGCGTGCTGCAGTGCCCCCTCCGTGGCGGCGACGGCCTGGCCCGCTCCCGGCTCCGCAGCACCGCCGGGCCTGGGACCAGCTCCGCCGGGGACAGGAGGGCACCGGGCGAGGGAGCACAGGCCGCGGTGCCACTGGCCCGGCTCTAGAACCTTCGGACCTTCAGCCCCGAGCACAGGCGACTACGGAAAGCAGGCGCGGGCAGGCCTCCCGCGGCTGCTCTGGGCGCCCAGCTGCGTCTGTAGCTCGCACCCGGGACCAGGGAGGGGCTGGGGCGCTGAGGCCTGGGCCAGCTGCACACATGCCCAGCGCTGCCGGGAGCCCCTCTTCCAGGGTGGGACGGAGGGAGGCCTCCGGGGCGCACGGGCACCGCGGCCGCAGGATCGAGCCCCGGCGGCTCCACTTCCCACGCGGCAGATGGCGCAGGGCCCTGGGCCCCGATGGGGTTCCAGGCTCCGGGCTCTGGCCTGGCTGGGCCGTCCTGTTCGGAGTGAACCAGGGGGCGGAAGATAACCTCGTGCCGTGTCCTCCTCCCCGCTAACTCTGCCGTTCCAATAACGAACTTGTTGAAGACTGGTGAATCATCGGAACGGCAGCGTTACAGAGAGGAAGGAGCCTTCCACCTGCTGGTTCCCTCCCAACGCCCGCCACGCCAGGGCTGCGCCGCAGCGGAGCCAGGAGCCTCATCCGGGTGTCCCGCGGGGCGCGGGGGCCAGCTCCGTCTGCTGTGGCTCTCCCGGGCGCGTCGGCAGGGAGCTGGGTCAGGAGCGAGCAGCCGGGACGCGATGCAGATGGCAGAGGGCCACCCACAGCACCACGGAGCTGGGCCACGGGAAAGCCGCAGGCCTCCGGACCCCGCATCCAGGCCCCGGCTTCCCGTGAGGCCGCACCCCGGCAGGTCTCCCCACGGCCACGCCTCTGCCCTCGGGGTGAGCGGCACGCTCCACCCAGCCTGCTCGTCCCTCCCAGGCCCCCCCCCGAGCTCTCACCCCCTCCCCTGGCCAGGCCGCACTGGCCGCTCCCCAGCGTCCGCAGCACAGACACCCAGGACGGAGTGCACCCCGAGGGACGGGGAACCGAGCGGCCGGCCCGGCGCTGCTCAGACCTACGCCAGGACCCCAGCCAGCGCCCTGCACCCCACGGGCCTCGGTGCGCCCCAGGGACGGAGCGGGGCGGGCGCAGGCCGGCGGCGGCCGGAGGCGCAGGCGCTCACCGCCGACAGCCCTGCCACAGCCGCGCTGCACCCACCCCCACCCCCCCGTGTGCCGGGTCAGGGCTCACTGTGCCTACGGGAAACGGAAACGCAGGGGCCGGCGGCGTGCGGGCGTCCAGCCACCTGGGACGCGGGCGCTCAGCCCGGCGGCCCCTCCCCCCCCCAGCCCTGGGAAAGCAGCCGCGAGGGCCCAGGTGCTGCGCCCGCGCGGGACCCGGATGGAGCCCTGCTCCTGGCCCAGCCTGGCCGCGGTGGCCATTTGGGGAGCGACCCAGCGGATGGAGACCTCTCTCTGCCTGTCCCCTCTGTAACTCTAACTCGAATAAAATACAGCTTGGGAAGACAGGGAAGGCTTTGCTGGCTGCAGTAGGGGCGTCGGCACCGAGCGGCGGGCGGGGGCTGAGGGTCTGCGGGAGGCCTGGACGTGGGCGGGCGGAGGGTCTGCGGGAGGCCTGGACGTGGGCGGGGGCGGAGGGTCTGCGGGAGGTGGCGGCCGAGGGTCTGCGGGAGGCCTGGACGTGGGCGGGGGCGGAGGGTCTGCGGGAGGCCTGGACGTGGGCGGGGGCGGAGGGTCTGCGGGAGGTGGGGGCCGAGGGTCTGCGGGAGGCCTGGACGTGGGCGGGGGCGAAGGGTCTGCGGGAGGCGGGGGCGAAGGGTCTGCGGGAGGCCTGGACGTGGGCGGGGCGGAGGGTCTGCGGGAGGCGGGGCCTGCAGCGCCCGGTCCTGCGGCTCCACTTCCCACCCGGCTCCCTGCGAGTGCGCCTGGGAGAGCCCGGGCCCGCGCCCGCGGGGGAGCCCTGGGCGCCGTCCGGCCAGCCCAGCCCAGCAGAGGCAGCCCCGGGGACGGGAGCCGGCAGTGGAGGCTCCGCCCTCCCAGTGAACTCGGATGGACGGACGGACGGACTGCAGGGAGAGCCGCACCCCTCCTCCCAGCACCCACACCCGGCTCACAATGGCCTCCATTCAGAGCCGCGCTGGGCCCTCTCGCGCCGCCAGGCCGCTGCCCTCCCTGGCCCCTCTGCCGGGAACACACACGCCCGTCCTCCTCTGCCTGGTTCACGGAGACGCGCCCCTCAGGTGTGGGCTGCCGCTTCCTCCAGGAAGCCCACCGGGCCGCCACCTCCTCACACACAGGCTGCTGTGTGACAGCGTGTCCCGGGGGCCCTGTGCCGCCCAGGAATGGGCTTCCATCGCGAGCACCGACCCCTCCCCGCAGCCGCAGGGCCGGCCCACAGCTCCGTGGGCCCCCGCGAGGCCCGGAAGCAGCTCTGGGCGGCCTGCTGTGCTTCCTGCCTGGCCGCGGGCCCGCCGGCAGCCCGTCCCGTCCCGGGCCCCGGCTCTGCCCGGCTCCCCTTGCCTGGGCGGGCTGGGTCCGGCCAGGCGGCCGCGCGTCCACGGGGGGGGGTGGGCAGCTGTCTCCCGAGGCCCTGCCGCGGCGCCTCCCCGCCCCCAGCCCGCCCGTCGCCGGTGATTTATGGCTCCTGCCCACCGGGCTCCGGCTCTTCCGGGGAAACAGCCGAGCGGGCGAGCCTGTGGTCGCGGGTCACGGCCGTGGGGGGGCCGAGCCGTCCCCGCGCAGTCCGTGTGCAGGCCACAGCGGGGAGGGCCGGGCCCTGCGTGGGGGTGGGCAGCCTTGCAGGCCGCGAGGGTGCACCCCGGCAGGCAGGGGCGGGGCGGGGCGGCCTCTTTGTTCCAGGCCGCCGCAGTCTTTCCCGGTAGAGGGGAGCGGGCTCTCCCGGAGATCAGGTGACCGGGGTCCCCGGGGGCTGGGGCACAGCAGTGCATTGTGGGGCAGAGCAGGAAGGAAGCCGGGCGGGCAGGCAGGGGAGGCGGCCGCCGGCTCAAAGTCACCTCCAGCCCAGCCCCCTGCCCGCGGCTGCACACCCAGCCTCGCCTCGGCCCTGGGACCCGGCCGGCTCCTCCCCAGGTCCCGGGGGGCTGCAGGGGGGGCTCCCGGCGCCCAGGTTAGAGGGAGCAGGCCGGTGGCGCTGCGTCCGGCGGTTCCCCAAAGGCCCCGGCAGAGAGAAAGCGGGGAGGCCAGGGCCCCACCGGCGCCTCCCGCCCCCCGCCCCGCCACAAGGCAGGGCCCCTGCAGCGGCCTGGCCGGGCCTGAGAGAAGAGGGGTCGGCGCCCCCACCCTGCCCACCCAGCTCCTCTCCGAGCGCACGAGACAGGGCCGCGGCTGCCCGGCGGGACGCTGGGTCAGCAGGCAGGGAGGAGGGCAGGCGCGGCTCCCAGAGGCCCAGGGCGCGGGGGCCAGACGCAAGGTGCCAGACGGCGGGGCCCTGGGGCGGCCAGAGGGGATGCTGGCAAGGTCAGGGGCTTTGACCTCTGCCGGGCGCCCCGTGCTGCGGCTGGCACCAGGCACACGTGCGGCAGGCGCTCGGGCGTCCAGCGCGACGGGCAGTGGGCGGAGACAAGACGGGCCTCCTGGGGCACCACCGCTGGGCACACGGCGGGAACGCGCACGCAGAGGAAGCGCGGCCCCGCCCCCAGCCCCCTGGGGACGACGCTCACCAGTCCCGGCCCTGCCCGCGGGCACTCACGGCCTGCGGTCCCCACGGGCGAGGGGACCCCAGCGCGTGCGCCGCAGCAGGAGGCGGGCTGTGGCCCGGCCCCGCCCCACTCACCCAGCTCGGTGGGCTTCAGCAGCTCGTCCAGCGTGTTGAAGAAGGGCAGCTTGACCAGGCGCACTTCCGGCTTGAGGGTCTTGGGCGGCAAGCGTCCCAGTCCGTTCAGGTACTTCCCGTACAGCACGGGGTAGTCAATGTGCGGGCCCGAGAGCGGCGCGCGCGGCCCGGCGGCGGCGCGCTCGTAGGGCGCGTGCGCGGGCAGCGGCTCCAGCGGCCGCGGCGCCTGCGGCAGGGGCTCGGCGCCCCTCTTGGCGTAGCGCGTCTCGTAGAGCTCGCGGATCTTCTTGAAGAGCTCGGGGCTGCAGTCGAACTGCACCAGCTGCAGGGCCCGCGTCACCAGCTCGTGCTTCAGGCCGCTCTTGCTGCGGCCCACGAAGCCCAGGAGCATCTGCAGGTCGGACACTCGGAAGCTCATCACCATGTTCTGCGGGGGAAGCGCATGCGCGGCGCTCAGCCGGGCGCCCCAGGGCGGTCACGCGGCTCGGGCCGGCCACCCCAGAGCTGCCAGGCACGGGCCCCAGGCCACCCCAGAGCTGCCAGGCACAGGGCCCCCAGGCCATCCCAGAGCTGCCAGGCACGGGCCCCCCGGCCACCCCAGACCTGCCAGGCACGGGCCCCCAGGCCACCCCAGAGCTGCCAGGCACGGGCCCCGGCCACCCCAGACCTGCCAGGCACGGGCCCCCAGGCCACCCCAGACCTGCCAGGCACAGGCACAGGGCCCCCAGGCCACCCCAGAGCTGCCAGGCACGGGCCCGGCCACCCCAGAGCTGCCTTGCACGGGCCCCCCGGCCACCCCAGAGCTGCCAGGCAGAGCGGTCAGCCCACGGCAGGGGCAGCCACGCACGGAGCTGTGACCCCTAAAAGAGCCACGGAGGTTAACGCCCCGGCCTGCAGTGCCACGGTCCCCTATGGGCGCCGGTTCGAGTCCCAGCTGCTCCACTTCTGATCCAGCTCCCTGGTGTGGCCTGGGGAGGCAGCAGATGGCCCAAGTCCTCGGCCCCTGCACCCGCGTGGGAGACCCGAAGTCCCTGGCCCAGCTCCGGCTGCAGTGGCCACCAGGGAGTGAACCAGCGGATGGAAGACCTGTCTCTACCTCTCTCAGTAACTCTTCCAAACCAACAAAAAATAGCCCTTAACACAGCAGGCGTCCACTCGGGAGAGCAGCGCCGGGATTTGAATCCACACCCTGCGTTCTTCCTACACTGCCCCAGCCCGGTCGGTGCCCCCCCGCAGAGGGCGGACACTGGCCCAGACGGCTGTCCGGGTAAGGCCATCGTGGGCGCTGGGCGCACTCTAAAACACCGGATGTCCCCTGGGCCTGGCTCTGTCCCCGGGGCCAGCCGGGCTGAGCGGAGCGCCCAGAGGGCCCACGGGCGGGCACGGTCTCACCGGCGAGGTCGGGCCCTGTGTCTGAGCTGGGCTGTCCGGCGGGTGCTGCACTAGCCGCCACACCGGCCTGGGTGAGAGACCCCCAGGGGCAGAGGGGAAGCAGGTGCCCGTGCCCGGAGAGGGCAGGGCCGCCGCGGGGACACGGCCGGCTGCCCCGAGCGTCTGGCGGCCTGGGGTCTCCCGCCCCCGGCTGCTGGAGTGAGGCCCCGAGACGGGCTCCGGGGCCCTGGCTGCGCCCACCCTCAGCCAGCGTCAGCGGCTCCTCCTGCAGGGGGCTCCGGGCCACCCGGCCCCTTCGGGCAGGTGGGGAAACGGGGGCGGGAAGGGGCCGTGGCCTGCCCGGAGTCTCCCACGGTTCCTCGGACTCAGCCTGGGCGCCGTCGCTGTCCAGCGGGCCGCTGCCTGGGGGTGCCGGCCAGCTCTGGGGTCAGAGACGCCGCCCCTCCCGGCCTGACTTCCTGGGGGGGGGCTTGTGGACAAGATGTCGCTTCTGGAAGAGGCTCAAGGCTGGCACACCGCGCTGCACGCGGGAGTCCCCCGCACGGGCTGGACATCCGGAGCCGCGGGCGCCCTCACGCTGCCATCTGCTCGCCGCCGCCGCCCAGGAACCTGCGCGCGACCGCGGCAGGCGGAGGGGGCGCCCGGGGCCACGGCCCACCCCCACCAGACCTCCGCCCGCAAACAGCGCAGCCTGGGGCCTGGGTGGGAGCCCGCCCGGGGCGGCCCCCTGAGCTCTGTGAGCAGACAGTGGCCCCCCACACCTGCACAGGCTGTGAACTCTCAGCACAGCGACCCCACAGGCCGCACCCCCAAACCTGCCTCAGGAGCCCCCCCGATCAGCCGAGCCTGTCACAGCCTCCCCAGGACAGCCCCCTGCACCCAGGACACATCTGCACCCATTCGCGGGACGGGGCGCTGCGGCCCCCAGCCCCGCACGGGACCGCGCCCCGCGGGGGTCAGAGCCCAGTGCAGCCCCCGGCCCAGGCGAGGCACGGGCTGCACCGCGCGGGGTGGGGGCAGCGGGGACGCGGGAGGGGGGACGGGGCGCTGCGGCCCCCAGCCCCGCACGGGACCGCGCCCCGCGGGGGTCAGAGCCCAGTGCAGCCCCCGGCCCAGGCGAGGCACGGGTTGCACCGCGAGGCGGGGGCAGAGGGCACGTGGGCGCTGCGGCCCCCAGCCCTGCACGGGAGCGCGCCCCGCGGGGGTCAGAGCCCAGTGCAGCCCCCAGCCCAGGCGAGGCACGGGCTGCACCGCGCGCGGCGGGGGCAGAGGGCACCTGGGGGGGGGGGGACGGGGCGCTGCGGCCCCCAGCCCCGCACAGGGAGCGCGCCCCGCGGGGGTCAGAGCCCAGTGCAGCCCCCGGCCCAGGCGAGGCACGGGCTGCACCGCGCGCGGGGGGGGGGGGGTGGCGTCTACACCTCAGCGCGGGGCTAAGCTTTCACAGGCCGGGGCCTCGCGCAGGGGCCCCCACCTCCCTGGTGGCTTCTGGGAGAGGAAGGGACAGAGGCCAGGGTGCTGCATGGGTGGGGGGGCACCCGGGGCAGGCGTGACGCTGGCGCTAGGCTCTGTCCCCACAGAGTTCAATGAAGTCCCGGACCCGGGAGAGAGCACCGTCTACGCACACGGAGCGCGCACCGCCACAACTTTCGCTAAAGAAACGTGTCTACCAGACCCCCGGGGGCGCCGGGGGGAGGGGCCTGCGCGGAGGGTGCGCAGAGGAGCGGGGAGAGGGGACCCCGAGCCCCAGATCCGGCCCCGCGGCGGGGCCCAGCGCCCGACACTGAACCCGGGGCGCCTGGGGGGGGGTCCCTGGGCAGGAACGGAGGAGGGGCTGGAGCTCCGGGACCCACACGGGGGGCCGGACCCGCGCCCGGACCCCCCACCCGCATGCCGGCACTGGAGGCCGAGGGGTCAGCACCCGGAGTCGCGACCTGCCGGGCCGGGGCGTGGGGGCTCGAGACCCTGCCGCCGGCCCCCAACGGCCCCGCAGCGGGGAGGCGCGAACACCCGCGGCCGGCGCCCAGGAGTCGAGCGGGAAGCCCGGGCCGTCCGCAGGGAGGCGCGGCCCTGCGCCCGCTCCGCAGGGGTCCCCGGCCCCCGGCCGCGCGGGTGGGCTGCACGGAACCCCGCCTCCAGTCCCGGACGGGCTCCGGGCGGGAACGCGGGGGTGAGGCTGGGACCCCGCCCCCGGCCTCCCCGCCCCCCGCCCACACCCTGAGCCCCGGGGCCGGGGGCGGGGGCCGGGCCGGGGGGACCCGGCCGCCCCGGGAGCGCCAGAGCGGAAGGCGCAGAGCGCGGCCTGCGGCCGGGTCCCCGCCCCCTCGCCCGGCCGCCCGCCCGCCCCGGCCGCCGCCGCCGCCGCCGCCGCCGCCGCTCACTCACTTTGGCCTCCACCAGCTCCGCCGCCATCTTGGCCACCAGCGTCCCCCGCGCCGGGAGCCCCCAGCCGTCGCGTCACGTGACCGACCGCCACTCGCGGGCGGGGCCGCCGCTCGGGCCAATTAGCACCCGCGCACGCTCCTCCCCCCACGGCGCGCGCTGCCACTCACTGCGCAAGCGCCTGCGGCCCCGCCCGGGCCTCGGGCCAATCAGAACAGCCGGATGCGGCCCCCCTCCCTTCTGATCCCGGAGGCCACGCCCACTCCTGGCGTGGTCTGGCTTCTTAAAGGGGCAGGAGCCGCGCGCAGGTGGGGCCGGGTGCTGGGTCGCCTCTGGGGAGGGACGAAGGGAGGGGGCGGCGGCGGGCGACAACAATGCGGCCAGGTGTCGCGTCTCCCGGCGCGCGGCGGTCGCCAGGTGCGTGCCTGGACTCTCCGCGGCGTCGGCGGGGGAGGGGACGGTTGCTCAACCGCTGCGGCCGCCAGTGCGTGCAGTGGGCGCCTTGCAGCGCCGCGCGGTGCGCGCTCAGCGCCCCTGGCGCCCCGCGCGCTGCACATCCGGGTCCTGGCGCGCAGCTGGGGCGCGGGCGCTGCACCCCGGGCTGGGCCCGGGCGGGCGAACGCGGGACCCCCCTCCCCGGGGCGCCGCGGGCCGGTGTCCACGGCGAGCCCTGGGTCCCTGTCCGGCTGGGACCTGCCCAGCTCCGAGGCAGCCAGGGCCAGCAGGCTGAAGCCGGGGGTGGGGGCAGCAGCTCCATCCCGGCCCCCCAGGGCCGCGGCCGGGCCGAAGCTGGAACCAGCACTCCCATACGGGCTGCGCGCGTCCCAGGCGTCATCTTCCACGGTGCCACCCATGGCAGCGGCTTGGGAAGAGAGACCCGCGCTGGCCGTGGGCTCCGCGTTCTCAGCCGGAACCTGCGGCCGGTCAGCCTCCGCTGTGTGTGCTCACCTGGGCTCAGGAGTGTTCGCAGCACCACAGCTGATGGAGACAGGGCACAGCCCCGGTCCTGTCCCGGCCTGATCCTGTCCAGCCCTGGTTGTATCTCAGCCCCGATCCTGTCCAGCCCTGATCCTGTCCCAGCCCCGATCCTGTCCAGCCCTGGTCCTGTCCCAGCCCTGATCCTGTCCCGGACCTGATCCTGTCCCAGCCCTGGTCCTGTCCCAGCCCTGATCCTGTCCCGGACCTGATCCTGTCCCAGCCCCGATCCTGTCCCAGCCCCGATCCTGTCCAGCCCCGATCCTGTCCCAGCCCCGATCCTGTCCCGACCCCAATCCTGTCCCCGCCTGGTCCTGTCCCGGACCCGATCCTGTCCCAGCCCCGATCCTGTCCCGGACCTGATCCTGTCCCAGCCCAGATCCTGTCCCGGCCCCGATCCTGTCCAGCCCCGATCCTGTCCCGGCCTGGTCCTGTCCAGCCCCGATCCTGTCCAGCCCCGATCCTGTCCCAGCCCCGATCCTGTCCCGACCCCAATCCTGTCCCCGCCTGGTCCTGTCCCGGACCCGATCCTGTCCCAGCCCCGATCCTGTCCCGGACCTGATCCTGTCCCAGCCCAGATCCTGTCCCGGCCCCGATCCTGTCCAGCCCCGATCCTGTCCCGGCCTGGTCCTGTCCAGCCCCGATCCTGTCCAGCCCCGGTCCTGTCCCAGCCCCGATCCTGTCCCGACCCCAATCCTGTCCCCGCCTGGTCCTGTCCCGGACCCGATCCTGTCCCAGCCCTGATCCTGTCCCGGACCCGATCCTGTCCAGCCCCGGTCCTGTCCCGCCCCCGGTCCTGTCCCAGCCCTGGTCCTGTCCCAGCCCTGGTCCTGTCCCAGCCCCGATCCTGTCCAGCCCTGGTTGTATCTCAGCCCCGATCCTGTCCAGCCCTGATCCTGTCCCAGCCCCGATCCTGTCCCCGCCTGGTCCTGTCCAGCCCTGATCCTGTCTCAGCCCTGATCCTGTCCCAGCCCCGATCCTGTCCAGCCCCGATCCTGTCTCGGCCCCGATCCTGTCTCGGCCCCAATCCTGTCCCAGCCCCGATCCTGTCCCAGACCTGATCCTGTCTCAGCCCTGATCCTGTCCCGGACCTGATCCTGTCCAGCCCCGATCCTGTCCAGCCCCGGTCCTGTCCCAGCCCCGGTCCTGTCCCGGCCCCGATCCTGTCCCTGCCTGATCCTGTCCCACCCCTGGTCCTGTCCCGGCCCTGGTTCTGTCCCAGCCCCGATCCTGGTCCCAGCCTGATCCTGGTTCCTGCACCCGCATGGGAGACCAGGAAGAAGCACCTGGCTCCTGGCTTCGGATCGGCACAGAGCTGGCTGTAGTGGCCATTTGGGGAGTGAACCAGCAAAAGGAAGACCTTTCTCTCTGTCTCTCTCTCTCACTGTCTAACTCTGCCTGTCAATAAATAAATAAATAAATGAGAAGCGCTGGGAGGTGAACTCGAAGGTGGCCAGGCTCTCCAATTCTCTCTCCATTTCTTGATTACCCCCCCCAAATAAATAAGGGAATAAGTGGCTGCAGTATTTTTTTAAGATTTATTTATGTATTTGAAAGTCAGAGTTACACAGAGAGAGGAGAGACAGAGAGAAAGAGAGAGAGAGGAGAGGCAGAGAGAGAGAGGGGGGGGGGTCTTCCATCCGCTGGGTCACTCCCCAGTTGGCCGCAGTGGCCGGAGCTGTGCCGATGCGAGCCAGGAGCCAGGAGCTTCTTCCAGGTCTCCCACGCGGGTGCAGGAGTCCAGCACCTGGTCCATCGTCCACTGCTCTCCCAGGCCACAGCAGGGAGCTGGATCAGAAGTGAAACAGCCAGGACTCGAACTCGCGCCCCTATGGGATGTCCGCCCTTCAGGCCAGGGCGTTAAACTGCTGTGCCACAGCGCCGGCCCCTGTATTATTTCTAAATAAAAATTTCAAGCAACATCTAAATGATGTCATTTGTAACAAAACTATCAGGACTTTATGTTATTGGAAAACTATAGAAAGACAGAAAAAATAAGAGCACATACAATTTGACTTAGTTCACTCCTTTTAATGTTTATTTACTTATTTGAAAGGCAGAGAGAGAGAGAGAGAGAGAGAGAGAGAGAGAGAGGTCTTCCATCCGCTGGGTCACTCCCCAGATGGCCACAACGGCCAGAGCTGTGCTGATCTGAAGCCAGGAGCTCCATCCGGGTCTCCCACGCGGGTGCAGGGCCCGGGCATTTGGTCCGTCCTCCGCTGCCTTCCCAGGCACAGCAGGGAGCTGGGTGGGAAGTGGAGCCGCAGCCATTTGGGACACCGGCATCACAGGTGGTGGCTTTACCGCTGTGCCACAAGACGGGCCCTCCAGGTAAGTGTTTTTTTTTTTTTTTTTTTTTTTGACAGGCAGAGTGGACAGTGAGAGAGAGAGACAGAGAAAGGTCTTCCTTCTGTTGGTTTCCCTTCCAATGGCCGCCACGGCCGGCGCACTGTGCTGATCTGAACGCAGGAGCCAGGTGCTTCTCCTGGTCTCCCATGGGGTGCAGGGCCCAAGCACCTGGGCCATCCTCCACTGCACTCCCGGGCCACAGCAGAGAGCTGGCCTGGAAGAGGGGCAACCGGGACAGAATCCGGCGCCCCGACCGGGACTAGAACCCGGTGTGCCGGTGCCACAAGGCGGAGGATTAGGCTAGTGAGCCGCGGCGCCGGCCCTCCACGTAAGTTTTAAAATCTATCAGATTTTGCAAAGGAATTTGTGCTAGGCGTCCCAGGAAGGGGCAAACCTCCCCCAGGGGCCTGCACTGTGGGTAATGGGTAAAGCGGCCGCCTGCAGGGCCAGCATCCCACATGGGCGCCAGTTCGAGTCCCGGCTGCTCCACTTCCGACCCAGCTCCCTGCTGTGGCCTGGGAAAGCAGCGGAGGACGGCCCAAGTCCCTGGGCCCCTGCACCTGCGTGGGAGACTCGGATGGAGCTCCTGGCTCCTGGCTTCGGATGGGCTCATCTCTGGCCGTTGTGTCCATCTGGGGAGTGAACCAGTGGATGGAAGACCTCTCCCTCTGTCTCTTTCTCTCTCTGTAACTGACTTTCAAATAAATAAATAAATCTTTAAAAAAAAACCAAACACCTCCCCAGAGTTCCTTGCAGTTCCATGGGTGGAGAGCGGAGATGGCTGATTGTCCTCCCTGGCCTGTTTATTCCATGATCTTTGCCATAAAACTGATTTTTTGGGCACCACGCAAGCCTCCTGCAAAGACTACATTTCCCAGCGTCCTTTGTGGTTGGGTCTGGTCACATGATTAACTTCTGGCCAATGGCGGCAGTGGCTTGTCCACTTCCTGCTTCTTTCCCTCTTCCCATTGGCTGGAGGGTGAACAGCAGGGTGCCGCCATATTGGACCCTGCGGATAGGGTAACACCCGAGGCAGGCAAAGATGGCAGCCGGAGTCCTTCCCTGCGGGGCTGAGCTGGCGTCTGGGACTTTCCCCTGGGAGAGTAATTGTTCAGCGGCACCCTAGGAACTGAGTCCCCGGCTCCCACGCACGGTGGGACGCCAGCGCGCCCGGAGGCCCGATGTCCACCCTGGAGGCCCAGTGTCCATCTGGGAGGCCTGATGTCCACCCTGGAGGCCCAGTGTCCACCCGGAGGCCCAGTGTCCATCCGGAGGCCCGATGTCCACCCGGGAGGCCCGATGTCCATCCGGGAGGCCCAGTGTCCATCCGGAGGCCCGATGTCCATCCGGGAGGCCCAGTGTCCATCCGGGAGGCCCAGTGTCCATCCAGGAAGCCCGATGTCCATCCGGAGGCCCAGTGTCCGCCCGGGAGGCCCAGTGTCCATCCGCCGAGGGAGTGGCACGGGGTTCCCACTGCTGCACCCCCACCGCACCTGCGGGTGCCCGGCTTCTCTGTGGCTGCACGGCGGCGCTGGGTGGGCCGTGTGGCTTCCAAGCGCCGCTCTTGCTGGCCAGCCCGTCTGCAGAGTGGGGACAGCCTGACCGGCTCTCTGGACGCCCCAGGGCCACAACCCCAGGGCCCCTCGACTGCTCTCCCACCGTGAGCTCCATGCCTTTCTGGTCACCTCCTACAGGAAGCCATCCCGGATCTCCCTGGCTACAGCGTCCCTCTGATACTGCCCCCCCCAGTCCACTTTCACAAATGCTTCTTCATTCATTTTTTTTTTTTTTTGACAGGCAGAGTGGACAGTGAGAG